AGGGGGTGTGGTGGGTGCGGGTGAGAGGGGGTGTGGGTGCGGGTGAGAGGGGGTGTGAGTGCGGGTGAGAGGGGGTGTGAGTGCGGGTGAGAGGGGGTGTGGGTGCGGGTGAGAGGGGGTGTGGGTGCGGGTGAGAGGGGGTGTGGTGGGTGCGGGTGAGAGGGGGTGTGGGTGCGGGTGAGAGGGGGTGTGGGTGCGGGTGAGAGGGGGTGTGGGTGCGGGTGAGAGGGGGTGTGGGTGCGGGTGAGAGGGGGTGTGCAGGTGAGAGGGTGTGGCGTAGAGAGAGGGCCAAGAATGGGCGACCTTCCTCCATCCCTGCTCCATCCCGCCATGTGCTTCTCATCTCCCTCCACTCCTTGTACCCAAAGTGACTTCTGAGGCGACTTTTGAGTCGAATTTTGAGGTGAATTTTGAGTCGACTTTTGAGGTGAATTTTGAGTCGACTTTTGAGGTGAATTTTGAGGTGACTCAAAAGTCACGTCCATCCCGCCATGTGCTTCTGACCTCCTCCTTGTACCCCCCTCCTCCTTGTACCCCCCTCCTCTCCCTTCCCCACTTGCAGGCCACAGTCACATCGGGCTCGCCTGTCGATCGCTGGCTGCCCTCGTCCCTCCACTCCTTCCAACCCCTTACAACCATGCTCACTCTCCCTTACCCCTCCTCTTCCTGTCCCGTCCTCTCTCCCTTCATTCCCCTCCCCCTGCGGGCCACAGTCACATCGGGCTCGCCTGTGGATCGCTCGCTGCCCTCGTCCCTCCTCTCCTCCCTCCGTCTTACACCGATATTCATTCTCTTTGTCCCCACCCGCCTTAACCCCCTGCGGGCCACAGTCACATCGGGCTCGCCTGTGGAACGCTGGCTGCCCTCGTCCCTCTGCCACGCCACCTCCTCCCTTTCTGTCCCCGTACAGACGACTCTGCTCACTCTCCTTCCCCTGGACTCCCCTTCTTCCCCCCTGCAGGCCACGGTCACATCGGGCTCGCCTGTCGATCGCTGGCTGCCTTCTTCCCTCCTCTCCTCTCTCCGCCACGCCACCTCCTCCTCTTCCTCCTCTCGCGGTATCTCCGGCTCCTCCCCCCGCTCCTTCGCTCTCTCCTTCAGCCCTCACAGACACCGCTCCTCACGCTCCGCCTCCCCTTCCTCCTCTACTATCCCCGCCACCAACACTACCACCACCACCACAATTACCACCTCTTCTTCCTCCTCCTCCTCTTCCTCTGCCTCTCTTTCAGCAGCACTCGCCTCCTCCTCCTCTCCATCCGCCTCTGCATCTGCCCCATCAGCCTCGCTACCCACCACAGCGACCTCTCTTGCCGCTACTGCCACACTCTCGGATACCACCTCTGCTGCTGTCGCTGCTGGTACCCCTGCTAATTCTGCATCTTCTGCTGCTGCGGCCACCTCTGATGCTGGTGCAGCCCCTGCCTGTCCCTTCACCTCTCCCCCCATCGCATGCTATCGCGCGGACCCATCTGTTCTCGCAGCAGAGGCAGCATGCTCCCCGCCCACCTTCTCCCTCTCGCCCTTGCGCCCACGCCCGCCCTCCGCCCTCTCCTTCTACCCACCTGAGACCTCTAGTTCAGGAGAAACCAACAGAGGGTTCAGCCTGTCAGCAGGTGCTCTCCCTTTGGATACCCCTCTAGGAGCCACTGTGAGCTGGAACGGAGTGCTCCCTATCAATTCTTCTGGTTCTGACACAGGAGAAACCCCTCCTCAAAACAGAAGCGGGGTTTTTTATACAGAGTCTATCCTGGCACCTACTCCTCCTCACAATATTCCTCCTCCTCACCCTTCTACTGCAGCAGCAGCAGCAGCAGCAGCATCTGTAGCTCACACGGCCTCCTCCCCATCTGAAAGCTCGTCTCTTGTTGCTGCTTTGGCACCTATGAGTGCGTCCCTCTCTTGCCTGCTGGCGCGGCAGCAGCAGGAGCAGCAGCGGCTGTTGCTGGAGCAGCATCGGCAGCAGCAGCAGGCTGAGCAGGAGCAGCAGCACGGGGAAGCTTCAGATGCTACAGATGCTGTTGGTGTAATAGGTGTAGCTGATGCTACAGGTGTTGCTGCTGCGACAGATGCTGCTGCTGCTGCTACGAACGCTGCTGTTGCTACTAGTTCGGCTGCCGCCAGTGGTGGGGTTGCTGCTGGTGCTGTTCCCCCGGCTGCATCAGATGGCAGGCTCGGCTCTGATCCCCAAGCTTCATCTAGCCTCGGGTCAACTTCCCGAGCCTCCTCCTCTAGGTTCGGCGGTGAAGGGCAGGAAGGGCTGAAGCTGGTGCTCGCAGGTTCGGAGGAGCAGGGAACGGTTGGGGGGAGGTTTCAAGGGGTGGGGGGTGGTGCGATCGTGACAGGAGTGGGTGGTCAAAGTGTGAGGGCAGCTGGGTTGGCACCTCCTTTTGTTGGGGAGGATGCTGCTACAGCTGATGCTGCTACAGCTGATGCTGCTACAGCTGATGCTGCTACAGCTGATGCTGCTACAGTTGGTGCTGCTGGGTTGCCACCTCCTTTCATTGGAGAAGCAGATGATGCAGCCCCTGCTGCTGCTACAGGTGCTGCTGCTACAGGTGCTGCTGCTATAGCAGCAGCTGACGTGTGTGGCGGTGGTGCTGGCACCGCTGGTATTGGAGCCATCATCGTTACAGGTCCTCCCTTTATCGGGGAAGCAGCTGCTACAGCCACTGACACAACGCCTGCTACAGCTTCTTTCCTTTGCGCTGGTAGCAGCTCCACTGCTGGAAACGTTTTGGCTGCTGCTCCTCCTTTTGTTGGGGAAGCACCTGCTACAGCCCCTGCTACAGCCGCTGTTACAGCCCCTGCTACAGCCCCTGCCACAGCCGCTGCTACAGCCGCTGCTGCACCTCTTGCAGCAGTTGCTGCTGCTACAGCTGGTGGTAGCAACCCCGGGACCTCTGCTGCTGGACTGGCGCCTCCTTTTTTTGGGGAAGTTCCTGCTACAGCCCCTGCTACAGGTGCTGCTGCTACAGGTGCTGCTGCTACAGGTGCTGCTGCTACAGGTGCTGCTGCTACAGGTGCTGCTGCCACACCGGATGTCAGCGACAGGGCCACTGGGACTTCTGCTGCTGGCCTGCCACCTCCTTTTATTGGGGCAGCTGCTCCCACAACCGGTGCTGCTACAGCTGCTGGGCAGGGAAATAACCTGGCGGATGCTGCTGCTGCTGCCAGGTATGTTGCAGATAATGATGGTGCTGTGATGGGCGTTTTGATTCTGCTGCTATTTTGAGGCGCCTAAAAAATCCGTGAGCACTGAGGTGTATTTTGAGGCGCCTCAAAATACCTCTCTGCTGCTGCCAGGTATGTGGCAGATAATGATGGTGCTGTGATGGGCGTTTTGAGTCTGCTGCTGCTCCTGGTGCTGCTGGGCAGGGAAATAACCTGGCGGATGCTGCTCCTTCCAGCAACAGGTGTGCCGTGCCACAGATGACCAGGAAAGAGGGCAACCAGGAATAGCGCATAGAAATCAAGGGTTGGGGTTTTAGTCAACGTCTCTGCTGAGCTGCGAGCCACTCCCGTCACACCATCCGTTGCCATCTCTTCATGCCATCTCTTCATGCCATCTCTTCATGCCATCTCTTCGTCCCTCCCTTCTTCACTCACTCCCATCCTTATGGAGGATCATACCCCGCCTTTCCCTCGGGGCTGCCAGCCCCATGCCGTCCTCTCCTCGTGCGGCACGTGTCTTTTGCGTTCCCACGTGATAAAGTAGAGTTTTGAGACGTCTCAAAACTTTTGTGTTCCCATTCTCAGCTCTACTGACAAGCGCACTCGCTCTCCTTCCACCCTCTACTCCTGTCCCTCACTCGCCTCCCATCCCTCCCCCTTCCATCCTCCTTCTCAGCCCTATGGAGGATCGTACCCCGCCTTTCCCTCGGGGCTGCCAGCCCCACGCCATCCTCTCGTCCCTCAAAGCCCGCCTTACCTTGCGGTACGTCTCCTTCTCTCTCTCCTCCCACGTCAACTCTTTCCGTCTTCCCCATCTCTGTGCTTCCACCTGCCTCCTTGCCCCACGCCATACTCTCCTCCCTCAAATCCTGTCTCACCTCTCAGTACTTCTCTTCCCTTCCACTCCGTTTCTTTCCTTCTTCCCATCTCCATTTCCCCTCGGCCATCCTCTCCTCTCCTCTCTCAAATCCCGCCTCACCTCTCAGTGCGCGTCCTTCTCTCCCCTCCCACTTCCAACTGTTTTCTTCTTCCCCATCTCGCTTCCGTTTACCTCTCTTTCCCACACCATCCTCTCCTTCCTCCACTCATGCACTGCCTCTTGGTACCGAGGTGACTGTTGAGTCGACTCAAAAGTCAACTAGGTACCTCTTCAAAAATTGGAGGCGTCTGATTTTGAGGCGCCTCATAATTAGACTCGCTTCTCTCTACCCCCCTTCCCCTCACCATCCTCTCCTTTCTCCAATCATGCACTGCCTGTAGGTACCTCTACATCCTTCCCACCCCATCACTCTTCGCTCCCCCATCCCCCTTCCCCTCGTATCCGCGCATATCCCAGGAGGTCCCAAGGGTTCGTTCCTCCTCCTCGCCCTCCTCGTTTGCATCCCAGTGTGTTTCAAAGCACACCGGTATGAAAGCAACTCAAAACGTTTCTTACTTTCACTCCGTCCCCCCTCGTGTCCCCGCTTATCCCAGGAGGTCCCAAGGGTTACTCCTCCTCCTCCCAGGCACCAGCCACACTCCGTCACCGAAGCTGACTCTCACAACAGCTCACTATCCCTCTCCCCTTGTGTCCCTGCCTATCCCAGGTGGTCCAAAGGCTCGTCCTCCTCTTCTTCTGTGCATCGTCCTTCCCCCCTGCATTGGGGCCTGTTTTGAGTCGACTCCAAAATCCCCGTTCTCCCACCCCACTCCCTTGTGTCCCCGCCTATCCCAGGTGGTCCAAAGGCTCGTCCTCCTCTTCTGCCCAGGCACCAGCCACACTCCGTCACCAAAGCTGACAGCCAGAACACCTGTCTTGATCCATCCCTCTCCCCTCATGTCCCCGCCTATCCCAGGTGGTCCAAGGGTTCCTCCTCCTCCTCCTCCTCCTCCTCCTCCTCCTCCTCCTCCTCCTCCTCCTCCTCCTCCTCCTCCTCCTCCTCCTCCTCCTCCTCCTCCTCCTCCTCCTCCTCCTCCTCCTCCTCCTCCTCCTCCTCCTCCCAGGCACCAACCACACTCCGTCACCGAAGCTAACACTCACAGCAGATCACTTGGGCCACACGAGGGGAAGGAAGGGACACTGGTGGGCAGAGAGGGGTGCAAGCAAGCAAGAGTCTTACACAAGGGGGGGAATACGGTCCTGGCTGGGTCAGTGGAGGGGAAGGAAAGGAGACTGGCAAGCAGAGAGGAGAGGAGTGCAAGCAAGGAAGCAAGGGTGTTACACAAGGGGGGAAACCTGTACTTGGCTGGGTCAGTGGAGGGGAAGGAAGGGAGACTGGTGGTCAGAGACGTGTGCAAGCAAGCAGCCAGCAGGAGTAGCTGGGTTCACCTCACTCACCTCGTGAACCCACGACAAGCCGAAGTGAAGGGAGTGAGGTGAGGGTGGGGCGGCATGGCCCGAGGAAGGGAAGGATTGGCTGAGAATGAGAAGGCCTGAGGTGAAGGAAATGTTACCGGAGTAGCTGAGGTTTCTTAATGCATTGCAGGCAGGTGTAGGTGGGTTTTGCTCACTTACCACCTCGTGAGCCGCTGGTGGCGTGAATGGGATGAGGGAAGGGCGTTGTGGCTCGAGGAGGGGTAGTCAGGAGAGGGGAAGGAAAGGTTTAGCAGGTTTCTTAATGGAGTGCACGCAAGGGTAGCTGGGTTCACCTCACTCCCCTCATGAACCCATGCCGGAAGAGGTTGGGTTGGGAGGAGGCTGGGAAGAGGTTGGGAAGAGGTTGGAGGAGGCTGGGAAGAGGTTGGGAAGAGGTTGGGAAGAGGTTGGAGGAGGCTGGGGAAGAGGGAAGTGAAAGGTAGGGAGAACATGGGCGGATGGTGGAGAAAGAAATAGAACGAGGTTTGAGGAGGTGGAAAGAGGTGGGGAAGAGGCTGGAAGAGGTGGGTGGGAAGAGGTGGAGGTCGAGAGGGCTATGCAGTGCATCTTCCCAACCTCTTTCATTCTACCGATGCAGACATATCTGGTGGCTGCTTGTGCATTTCATTTGCTGTATTTCCCAAGGGTGTTTTGTAACTTGTCGACTATTGTCATAAGCAGCGGCACAGAGTTGACCTGGCTGGCTGTGTATAGGATGCCAAGCTTTGCTTTGAATTGGGCTCATGTGTGCAGGGATTGCGTTGCTACAAACAGTGCATTGCATGGTGTAATGTGGTTTGAGTGCTCCATAATAAAGCACCGTAGCTTGTTTGTTAGTACCCGTATTGGACAAAGATAAAGTACCGTACATGATGTTGAAGCAGAACTGCATTGTCTTAGGAGGCATACGGTATGACTTCCATATGACTTGACTGCTCTACCAGCCCACCACATTAACACTGAGATACCGGTACCAATTCACAAACAGCAATCAGCAATCGCTGTATGTGCACTGCACCTTAGGGCGAGCCTTTAATGCTATACACACGGACGAGGCTGGGAATGATACGGGAGCTGCTGAATTAGTGGTGCTGCTGACACAGAGACCCTGAAGTTGGAACTACCACTGCTACCAGCACAAGGCTTGCCTGGTGCTGGCACCGAGTTCCTGTCACCTGTGCATATGGATAGGATATCATGGCACCGAGCGCACTGATCACAATGCTGTAGAAGATCGTGCATGACAGATGAGATTGCATGAGATCGGTCGGACAGATGGATCCACTGGTGCTGGTTACAGGTATCAGCAGCTGATTGCAGGCACATAAGGTTACCCTGAAGCAGACACCCATGTCTTGTGCGTGGATATCAACGCAGACAGCAACCCGCAAGCAGCCAGAAGCGTGGGGTTCCCTAGCGGGCTGTTCCCATCAGAATCTTCTAGAATGTCATGCAGAGCCAGGAGAGCGTCTGATAGGTCCTGGATGAGAGCCAATGTCTTTAATAGCCGCTTGAATCGAAGCGCCTTAAGAAGCTTCCTTGCAGCCTCCCCTGATGACGTCATATCCACGCTGCTGCTGCTGCTGCTACTACCAGCTTGGTCGGGCGGTTGGCAGGATCCGCCATTGGAGAATGGGATTGGCTGGTTTTTTATCTGGAGTGAAACTGATCTCTCTTTGTGCAAGAGGGTGGTTATCTCCATGGATGTCAGGGTTACACTTCCGAAATACCCTATGAACTCTGCCCATGCGCTGATCTTCTCTAGCTGCCTCGAGTGCTTTTTGGGTAAGGCGCCGGTCTTGACCTGCCAAGCGAATGGGGGAAACATTCAACAAAGAGCATACTTATTTACTCACCCATTTTGGCTTCCTCGCCTTAAGATTCGTACGTTCGCTGTTCTGTAGCAAGAGATAAACAATGAACAAGTGCAATATGCAAGACGCAAGGTGCAACGTGCGATGTCCCATGTGCATGCACGGAGCAAGCACACACAGCAGAGCATTCCAACTACCAGCCATACGAGCTGCTCCGCGAAGTACTACACCCCCTCGCCGCCGCTCGCCACGAGCTTTAGAAACCCGTTATAAGGCACCTTAAAAGGTAAAAAAAAAGCAGTTCCACCTACCAGCCACACGAGCTGCTCCACGAAGTAGTACACCCCCTCGCCGCCGCTCGCGACGAGCTCCAGAAACCCCTCCACGCTGCTGAATGGCGGAGCCTTCCTCAGCGCGTCCACGTCTTGCAGAAACTTCCCCACGCGCAGGGCTTTCCGGCTCGCCCCCACGCTCGACTCGAAGCTCTTGAGCCGTCGAACGGTTTCAGACTGAGGACCGGAGCCGGAGCCGGCTGTTTGCGAGGGATGGTTTAACGTGACGGCGAGGAGGAGCTTGACGGAGTACCGGCAGATTTTGAGCACTTTGTCGGTGCCGTCCCGCTTCTGGAGGAACGCGACGGCTGTATCAAGGACGTCATGGGATTGCTTCGACATTGTGAAGTGGTTGCCGCTTCTGGATCAATGCGGCTACGTAACGACAGGTATTCGTACTGTGTGGAATCGGACTCAAACGGCGCTACCATACGATCGCCGAGCGGTTACCTTACAATTTTCTCGTAATGTACCCCCAAGGCACCCTACAATTTCTCGTGAAGTTGGTCCTTGTAGCGCCTTATGCTGCTGTACTTATGCATCTATTTACTACTGAAGCGTTGACAGGTATCGCAATCAGGCTTCAACACAGTGTGGATGGAGGATCCACGCCGGCAACGACAGCAGTGCACCACACATTTACTATAAACTAAACACGAAAAATGCAGAAACGGGACGTTGCGTCGTGCACTGAACAAGCGGTGACTAGAGCTCCCAAGGAAGAGGAGGGAACACCCAGTATAGCTTGCTCGTTCCAGAACAGCAAGCGTACTAGAAATAAACAATAAATTGATGGGTGATGGATGGATGGATGCTATGCTACGCGCGACCTCCTTTCATGTCAGTCACCTGCCAATGGAGCATTTATAATTGCCGCTGGGCGCTCACTGGGGGAGTGACGTGAATGTCTGCATTCTCTCAATACCCTACCCAAACACTTGATATGAACGCATGGCCGTTGCGCAGCGTAAAGAACCTCATTGAGCCCCACTGAACAAGCATTTTGTCAAGCCTCCTCGAAGTTGGTGCGAGAAGGTTTGGGTAAACGTTAGCCGTCGATATCCAACTTTGCCCACTTCCCCCAAAGCCCGATTTCAGCAAGAAGTACCGAAGCAGGTTCGGTTGACCCACGTGGACGAGGATCTGGCATAGATCTACGTGGAGCGCCCATGACTCCACGTCAGGTAGGGTCCACACAAGCTGGCTTCGCACCAGCCCCTACAGGGTCACAATCTGTACGTTCATTGTTCATGTATCACGATTCAAAGCGGTGAGTCGCGTTTCAAGACCGTTCGGGATTGCACACCACCGTACTCGAACGCAACAAACCGAAAACACTCGCCCAAGAGGGAGTGGGACTAGAGGGGGGCGAACTGCACCTCTCCCATCCCATCCCTTCTCCCAGCCAGGCGCTTCGTGCTGCTTTCCTTCCTTGCCCCGAAGGTTCGTCCTCTCCCACTGCTTGTTCCCCTTTGACAAATGTTTTAAATCGCAGAATAACGTTCTCAGCCGCATTAAAACGAGATTCTCAAGCCAATCCCTGAGACACGCTAGGCGAAAAAGCCAGCTGGGGCCAAGTGTGGTCAAGCTTTCAGTTCTGCTAGCATCTCGCTCGTTCCTGTCCTGGGACTCGGAGGAGTATCTTTTCTAGGGTTTGTGAGCATCGCCAGCCATGGCGCGCCGTTCTTCTCTCCTCCTCCTTCTCGTCACCATTATGCTTTGCGTCCCACGTTCGTTCGCCGTTCGGTACGTTTCAGTAGGCTTGGTCACTAGGAATGTGTGTTTGCCTGAGCTGCCAGCCTAAAAGACCCTCCGCTTCTGTTATCTAGCATATATTCTGTAACCATTGTGATTGCACTAGGAATGAGACGCGTTTATTAGATCTCACCGTAGCAATTCCTGCTCAGGTTGTGTTATGAACCCGCACCGCCGCAGCGCCTGATGGATTCCCGAATGCCCTGAATCATTCTCCTATCCCCCAAAATTTTTAATTCACCTCTTTCCATGCGGCCGATCCCGATGCGCCTGCTGCAGGTCGCTCGTTCAGATGAAGCAGCAGGCAGCTGTGCAGCAGCCAACAAATCCTCAAGCAACGCTCCCACCGAAGCAGATCTCGGCTAATCCGAAACCTAAACCGTCTTCTGGAGTCGGTACGAGTGGTAGTCAGAAGGACATTCTAGGCGAGCTCGCTGCAGATGCGGTTAAGGCGGCGAACGAAGCACGCGCGATCGCAGACGAGGGTGCAGCCGCAGCAGAAGCGACGGCAGCAGCAGCAAGCAGTGATTTAGCAGGTGCAACTGTTGCTGAAACAGCAGCAGATGCTGCAGTAGTAGCAGCGGCAGCAGTGCCAGCTGTCACTGGCGCAGGAGCGATGGTGTTGGGGACTGAGGCTGTGGACGGTGTTGCTGACGTGACAGGCGCGGGTTCTGCCGACGCCGTTGCGGCGGTAGCAGCTGCTGACGTGGCGAGCGCCGCCACGGACGCCGCGACCGACGTGGCTGCACACGCTGCCGAATCCGCCGCTGACGAAGCCTCCGACGAGGAAACAGATCTCGATAGCGCCGAAGATGCGAGAAAGAAAGCCCTAGAAGACGCAGAGCTGGTGTGGCATAAGTGCGTGCAGTCGGAGAAGCTGGGCGAGGTGTGCGTGGGGGTGTTTGTGGACTCTCAGCAGGAGCCGCCGCTGCTGTTCTCGGAGATCAGCCTGCGGAACCACACGTTCCTGGTGCCGCTCGCCAAGGCCAAGGCGTGCTTGGACGACCAGCTGCTGCTGAATCTGCTGCTCCACGACCCCAAGCTCGCCCCGTTTGCTGCGGAAATTAAGGTGCGTTTTCTTATGGGGGGGGGGGGGGGGGGGGGGGGGGGGGGGGGAGTTCGGGGGGTGCTGTCGCATCCTTAGCCATCCGATGCAGAGTTGATTGTTGCCGCAGCAGGCATTGATCTGTGGCCCTGGGTAGATGCACCATCGATCCCTTGATCAGCCTGCGAAACCACACGTTCCTGGTGCCGCTCGCCAAGGCCAAGGCGTGCTTGGACGACCAGCTGTTGCTTAACTTGCTTCTTCACGACCCCAAGCTTGCTCCCTTTGCTGCGGAGATCAAGGTGATGTTCTTTTCCATTTATTTTTTACTTGCTGTTGCATCTTTCGCCATGCAGTGGATCTGAAAAACGTTGAAGGTCGTCACAGTGGACATTGATTTGTGCACCTGGTAGCACATGTAGTTTGTGAATCTGTAGTTGGAAGATTCACCGATTCCCATCAATATGATGCCCTGCAGGCTCGTACACTGTGTTTCTCCCTCAAAATCCTTTTTTCTTCTCTCTCCAGTTCTCGCTCTATCTTACAACAGGCCGTCATAATGGTGAAGGTAGTACCAGTTGACTGCACATGTATTCTTTTGACTAAAAAAACCCTGTTTCCACTCCTCTCACAGCATTCCATGTTTCTCACAGAGAGGCAGGCTGCTGCAGCTGATGTCATGCGCGAGTTTGGACTTCCTGTAATATCTTTACGCACATTCCCCTCTTTGCTCCTCTCTTCCTATTTCCCTCTTCCTCTTCCTCTCATCCTCCACTTTGCGCCCACACTCCTTTTCCACAACAGGCCATCATGATCATGGAGAAGCTGGCTGCCGCTGATGTCCTCAGCAGGTTTTGGAATTCCTGCATACTGATCCCATTCCACAAACCCTTGCCTTTCCTGCTCTCTACCTTCTCCTTTTCCTCAACAGGCCATCATGATCATGGAGAAGCTGGCTGCTGCTGATGTCATCAGCGAGTGCGTACTCTTTAACGGCCTCTCCATTACTGTGGACAAACCCAACGACTGCCTGTACATAGCGGCATGTCCCCGGCTCTGCTCCCGCCTGGGCTGTCGCCATGGGCACTGCCTCTACTCCAAGGACAAGGAGTTTGAATGCTTCAGGGTGCGTGTGCCTCTGCACAGGCACAGCAGGGATGTTGCAGTGCGCTAGAGTGTTGCATGCGCATGGGGGTTTGGTTTGGCTGTTCCAAGGCGCTCTCACTTCTGTGTATGTACCGTGTGTGTTCCCTCTGAAGGAGCGTTTCGGTGTATGCGATCATGGCCGCCATTTTCTCAATTCTCGAGGATGAGTGTTTCAAGGGGCATGTGCATCTGCACAGGTGGACCCTGGTCTCAGAATAGGAATGCAACGGAATGTGTGGAATAGAAACGAATGGGGTACAAATAAGCAACCCTAGAAGCTGTACCCCCCTAGAGTGCAACTCACTACGGCTTATCACATCAATGTGCAACATTTGACACACGGTAAGTGAGGGGCATCAAAGCAAGCAAGGTGAACAAACGGTCACAAGATCAGTCAAAGCAAGAAACAAGGCAAGCTCAGGGTGGATCTCAAGGACCCCACACAAATTCCGAGCTCAAGCAAGCGGCCACAAGGCCAGTTCAAGAGTTCACTAGGATATAAATACAAAGCACAACGAGCAGAGCAAGCAGCAGGACTACAGTAACCGAGGGCCTACCTCAACAAGCCCCAACTGCACACACAACCTGTGGTGATCACCAAGCGCCAAGGCCTTGGTGAAGACGTCTGCAGTGTTGGCCTCTGAGGCCACAAAGTCCAGGCGTGCCTGACCGCGTCGCTGCAGCTCTCGCAGGAGGAAGTACCTCACGTCAATATGCTTCACTCTGCTCTCCAGTCGAGGCTCTCGACACAGGAGGATCATGGCCTTGTTGTCAGCGTACAAGGTCGGAGCAGAGCGAGGCCGCTCACCAAGGTCTGCGAGCAAGAAGGTCAACCAGCGAAGCTCTTGTGCCGCCATGGCACCCGCGTAGATCTCTGCCTCTGCACTGGAAGTAGCCACAGACGACGACCGTGTAGACCTCCACGACACAGCACCAGCTCCCCGACTGAAGCAGTAACCCTGAGTCGAGCGCTGAGTTGTCAAACATTATATGTTTGTGTGGTTCTAGGCTGTAGTGGGTCACACCATAGGGGGTACACCAGATTAGGGTTTCATATTTGTACTGTTGTTCCTGCTAGTCACACCCATTCCTGTTTCTCATTCTGACATGGTATTACGAGCCTAGGTTCCACCTAGGACCGGAACGTTAGGGCCCACCGTTTCCTAGCGTCGCCCCTTCAGGCCCCTCACGGCCCCTCGCGTCGCCCCTTACGACCTCTCACGGCCCCGTCTTAAGACCCCGCGCTAGCCCCTTAAGGCCCCGCGTCGGCCCCGCGCTAGCCTCTCACGGCCCCCTACGGCCCCGCGCTAGCCCCGAACGGCCCCGTGTAGCCCCGCGCTAGCCTCCCACGGCCCACCTACGGCCCCGCGCTAGCCTCCTACGGCCCTGATTGGCCCCGCGCTAGCCTCGAACGGCCCCGTGCGGCCCCCGCGCTAACCTCCCACGGCCCCGTAAGGCCCCGCGCTAGCCTCCCACGGCCCCTTCAGGCCCCGCGCTAGCCTCCCACGGCCCCTTAAGGCCCCGCGCTAGCCTCCTACGGCCCCCAAATGGCCCCGCGCTAGCCCCGACCGGCCCCCGAACGGCCCCCCCCCGCGCTTGCCTCTCACGGCCCCTTCCCGCGCTCGCCCCTCTACGGCCGAGCCGCACAGCGCGACCCCAGCTGAACCGCGCGACCCGAGTCGAACCGCGCGACCCAGCCGAGCCGCGCCGCCCCAGCCGAGCCGCGCCGCCCTAGCCGAGCCGCGCCGCCCTAGCCGAGCCGCGCCGTCCTAGCCGAGCCGCGCCCTCCTTACCTGAGCAGCAGCACCACTACTGCTACTGCTACTGCTACTACTACCGCTGCTGCTGCTGCTACTGCTACTGCTACTGCTACTTCTGCTACTGCTACTTCAGCTATGGCTAGCCCTCCAGTTCTCTCGTTCGATGCTGAGGGCCGCCCGATTAAGTTTGAGACCTGGCTCGATGATCTGCACCTGTTCCTCCAGCTCACTGCCAGAGAGGATATCTCGCTGTACGATCACGCACTAGGCACAGTCCCTGCTCCTGCTACTACTGCTGCTGCTACTTGCTCGCTCACAGTGGCAGACTCGCGATGCCCACGCCCGCTTTGCTATTCGCAACTCCCTGCCAGTCGACGAGCGCGAGCACTTTGGCCAGCATCAGACTGCGCAGGCCCTGTACACTGCTGTAGTTGCGCGCTACTCCTCCCCGGCCTCAGCTGCACTAGGCCGCCTCTCGCTTCCCTACCTGTTCCCCGACCTGTCCGCCTTCCAGACAGTCGCTGACCTCATCACTCACCTCCGCACTAGTGATGCCCGCTTCCGTGCAGCCATGCCCGCTGAGTTTCTTGCCTCCAACCCTCCCCCGCTCTGGCTCACTCTCTACCACCTAGTCACCCGCCTCCCTGACACTCTGCGTACAGTCAGGGACCACTTCCTAGCTCGCTGCCCCACTGAGCTCACCATTACCGCCCTAGAGAAGGAACTACTTGCAGTTGAGAAGAGTATTGTAGCTGTAGGTACCTCTCGTGGCGACCCCCGCACCCCTTTCTTCGAGGGGTGTTCCCCCTCCCCCCTGCTCCCCTCTGTCGCCTCTGCTGCTGCTGTCGACCTCCTTGGTGCTGAGCAGGTCGGCTCTGCGTCCGCTCCCAGCGGGCGTCGCAGCGGCAAGGGCAGGGGAGGCAAGGGCGGTGGGGGTGACGGCGGGGGAGGCGGTGGTGGGGGTGGTGGCGGCGGTGGGGGTGGTGGCGGGGCTGGAGGGGCAGCGGTGGGAGTGGTGGAGGCAGCGGCGGCGGCGGTGGCCGGGGTGGGGGCGGTGGTGGTGGCGGCAGTGGACGTGGAGGCGGCAAGGGCGGTGGTGGTCGTGGTGGAGGCGGCGGTGGTGGTCGTGGAGGCTCTGGCACTGGCCAGAGCGCGCAGCACCCTCAGTCCTCCCAGGAGCTTCGTGAGTGGTACTTACAGCACGGGGGTGGGGGGGGTAGCCTTAGCTGCACGTACGTCATCCGCACTGGTCGCCGCAAGGGACAGACGTGCGGGAGGGCGCACACTGCGCAGCGCTGCTTCTCTCGCCTAGATGACGCGTGGCGTGCTCAGTTTCCTGACGCTCCTGAGCTCCCTCAGTGGGCTGATCTCCTCAAGAAGGATATCGATATCTATGCTCTTGATTTTGATGTTATTCTCAAAGCCATGTATGCATTGACTATTAGTGGAGAGGAGGACCAGTACCTGTGTGTTCCGCCTGACCCAGGCATCCGCACGAGTGAGGCTGCCGCCCTAGGTGCTTGCGTGTCTGCTGCCCCAGGTGCTAGTGCGGCTACTGCTCTAGGTGCTTGTGTGTCCGCCACCCCAGGTACTACTGAGTCCACTGAGGCACTGCACACCTTCACTCTAGACTCAGGCGCTTCGCGCTGTTTCTTTCGTGACCGCACTGCTCTTGAGCCCCTTGCTCGACCAGTCGCTGTCTCGCTCGCTGACCCCTCTGGGGGTCCGGTCATTGCGACCTCCTCCACTGTCCTTCCTTGTCCTGCTGTCCTGTCGGGCATACTGTCAGGTCTCCACCTCCCCTCGTTCTCTACGAACTTGGTGGCAGGTTGTGCGCTTCAGGATGGGGGTGTTCACCAGTTCACCCCTGCCTACGAGCGCGTGACACACTGCACGTGTGCTCGGACGGGCCGTCACCTGGCTACCTTCACTCGGCAGCCGGGGTCGGACCTGTACACACTGACCACTGAGTCCCCTCAGGTAGCGGCGTCTGCGTCTGCGTCTGCGTCTGCGTCAGGTCAGCTGTCTGCCCCCTGCTCGTGTCGCTCTCTAGCGCACAAGACTGTCCTCTGGCACCACCGACTTGGTCACCCGTCAGTGCAGCGCCTTCGGGGCATGCACTCCCGGTACCTTGTCTCTGGTCTTCCTCGGGTACTCCCTCCCCTCCCACCCTCCCTTGCTCCTCCTTGTCTTCCCTGTGTCGAGGGGCGGCAGCGCGCTGCCCCTCACTCCTCCTCGTTCCCCCCGACGACTGCTCCTTTGCAGACGCTCCACATGGACGTGTGGGGCCCAGCCCGCGTCCGTGGTCAGGGCCAGGAGAGGTACTTCTTGATCGTCGTTGACGACTACTCGCGCTACACCACGGTCTTTTCCTTGCGCACCAAGGGTGAAGTCCCTGATGTCCTGATCCCTTGGATCAGCAGAGCACGTCTTCAGCTGCGAGAGCGTTTTCGCTCGGAGTTTCCTGTCCTGCGCTTGCACTCTGACAGAGGTGGTGAGTTCTCCTCCGACCTCTTGGCAGCCTACTGTGCTGAGCACGGCATTCGTCAGTCGTTCACGCTTACGGCCTCTCCACAGCAGAATGGGGTTGCTGAGCGCCGCATTGGCTTGGTCATGGAGGTCGCTCGTACCTCCTTAGTCCACGCGGCTGCCCCCCACTTTCTGTGGCCGTTTGCGGTCCGGTACGCTGCGCATCAGCTCAACCTCTGGCCCCGTGTCTCCGCTCCGGAGACCTCGCCCACACTGCTGTGGACGGGGGAGGTTGGCGATGCGTCACGCTTCCGTGTCTGGGGATCCCGAGCTTTTGTTCGCGACACGTCTGCGGACAAGCTCTCCTCCCGCACTGCTCCGTGTGTCTTTCTTGGCTTTGTCCCGGATGCGTCTGGCTGGCAGTTTTACCACCCGCCTCGCACCGCGTCTTCCCCTCTCAGGACGTCACTTTTGACGAGTCCGTGCCCTTCTACCGCCTCTTCCCCTACCGCACTGCCCCGCTCCCTCCCCCGCCTCTCTTCCTCGCGCAGGTGCTGCAGTGGTAGACCCCCTTCCCCCTCAGGGTGCCGCTCCCTCAGGTGTCTCTCAGGTAGACCCGGTTGAGCCTGCCGAGGTAGCTGTCGACTCGCGTCCTGCTAGAGGTGCTGAGCCTGAGCGTGCGGAGCCTGAGCGTGCGGAGCCTGGGGGTGCTGAGTCTGGGGGTGGCTGAGTCTGGGGGTACTGAGCCTGGCGTTGCTGAGTCTGGGGGGTTGCTGAGCCTGGTGGTGTTGCAGTTGACTGTGAGGCGCCTGGAGGACCTCCCTCTTCGCAGCAGCTACGTGAGTGGTACTCACGGTACTGCAGCCTCCGGCGGGGTGCGTCTCGGGCTTCGTGGTGCTACTGGAGTTGGTACTCGTGTTTCCCCACAACGGCGGGAGCCGCCCTCTTCCCCACAGCTTCGAGAGTCGTAACGCTCGGCACATCAGTCTCCGGAGTGGAGCTGCTGGTGCTGGGTCCCCGGAGTTGACGCCGCTGCGGGTGCTGCGGACCCTGGTGCTGGAGGTGCTGCTACTACTGGCGGTGCTGCTGGAGGTGCTGCTCGTACTGAGGACCCGGGCGTTGGAGCTGCTGCGGGTGCTGCGGACCCTGCTGCTAGGAGGTGCTGCTGCTGCTGGAGGTGCTGCTGGTGCTGCAGGAGGTGCTGCCTGCTGCCGCTGGAGTGGAGGACCCGGAGGGTGGAGCTTCTCTGCTGGTGCTGAGGACACTGCCCGCTGGTGTCTCCTGCTTGTTCGGGAGTTGCTGCAACGGCCACGGCCTGTACTTCGTTCCGCTCCCTTCATCAGGTTTCTTGTCAGACTCCTCCTCCTTGTCCTCCTCTCGCCTTAGAGTGTCCGCCGTCTGTCCAGTCACAGCCCACAGTTACCGCCTGCCTCCCCACTCCCTGTGCCTACTCCTTACACTGGTCCGACTGGAGGTCTTGCTGAGAGACGTGAGCCTGCGTCACGTCCCTGTGTCACCCTGCGTCTCGTCGAGCGTACGCCTGTTCGTGGCTGCTACCACTGGTAGTCTTGTCCAGAGTCAGCGTCCTCCTGCTGTCCCAGGCACGCACCAGATGGCGCTTCGTCAGTCCACTGCTTCCGTGGCCGTGTCGCTTCTCCCCGTCGCCTCCTGCGTCCTCTCTTCCTGCTCTTGCTGACCCGGAGTCAGACACCCTTCGCGCTGCCAGTCCTACTGTCACACGTCTCCTGGCTACGGTTGTCACCGACCCTTCCTTTGAGTCCGCTGCTGCGTCTGCCTTAGTCGCTGACTTGTCGACTTTGCAGCTGCGTGTCGTCTAGACTACGCTGCGAGTCTTGTTGCTGAGTCTGAGTCTGTCTGTCCTCCGTCCGTCGGGGGTGAGTGTGCTCTTGGCCGGACGTTCTTGAGGACAGGCAGGAGGAGTTTGGTTGCCTTGCCGCTGCTTTGCCCCATCTCGTGTCCATGCTTGTTGCCCCTGAGGGAGACCCGGATGCACCAGACATCCCGACCCCACGCTCTTACGCAGAGGCGAATGGCCGGTCCCTACTCCTCTCAGTGGCAGATAGCCATGACACAGAGATGGCTTCCTGGAAGTCCACAGGCACCTACGTCGACGAGGTTCCCCCACCTGGGGCGAACATCGTCAGTGGCATGTGGATTTTCAGGGTGAAGCGGCCGCCGGGCTCTCCGCCTGTCTTCAAGGCGCGTTACGTTGCACGAGGCTTCAGTCAGCGAGAGGGAGTTGACTTCTTCCAGACCTTCTCCCCGACCCCGAAGATGACCACTCTTCGGGTTCTGCTACACGTCGCCGCTCAGCGTGACTACGAGCTCCACTCTCTTGACTTCAGCACAGCTTTCTTGCAGGGCAGCCTGCACGAGGAGATCTGGCTGCGCCGCCCACCTGGCTTCACTGGGTCGTTCCCTCCTGGTACCCAGTGGAGCCTGAGGCGGCCAGTCTACGGTCTCCGCCAGGCGCCACGTGAGTGGTACGACACACTGAGGACTACACTTGCGGCTCTTGGGTTCGCTCCTTCTACTGCTGACCCGTCGCTGTTTCTACGCACCGACACCTCACTGCCGCCGTTCTACATCCTCGTGTACGTCGACGACTTGGTCTTTGCCACTTCTGACACAGCTGGTCTCGCTCACGTGAAGTCCGAGCTGCAGAAGAGACACACGTGCACAGACCTGGGTGAACTGACAAGCTATCTTGGCTTGCGGATCACCCGGGACAGAGCACGGCGCACCATCACCTTGACTCAGTCACACATGGTGCAGCAGGTCCTTCAGCGCTTCGGCTTCACGTACTCCTCGCCTCAGTCCACTCCTCTGCCTACGGAACACTCGCTCTCAGCTCTGCCTTCGGATGAGTCCGTAGAGCCGAGTGGTCCGTATCCAGAGCTTGTGGGCTGCCTCATGTACCTGATGACCTGCACTCGACCTGACCTTGCATACCCTCTCAGCATCTTAGCACGCTATGTCGCTCCCGGCCGTCACCGGAAGGAGCACATGGATGCAGCTAAGAGGGTGTTGCGCTACTTGTGCAGTACGTCGGGCATGGGGCTAGTGCTTGGAGGGCGAGACCGGCCTGTTCTCACTGGGCACTCAGACGCTTCTTGGGCAGACGACCAGGCTACTCAGCGGTCGTCTCAGGGTTACACCTTCAGTCTTGGCTCTGGCTCTGTCTCTTGGCGTTCTACTCGTTCTTCTTCTGTTCTCAGCTCCAGCTGTGAGGCTGAGATCTACGCCACGGCCATGGCTGCCCAGGAGCTTCGTTGGCTCACCTACCTGCTGACTGACCTTGGAGAGCAGCCTTGTTCTCCTCCAGTGCTGTACGTCGACAACAAGGCAACCATAGCCTTGTGTTAGGAGCACAGACTGGAGCACAGGACGAAGCACATTGCTCTGCGTTACTTTCTAGCTCGAGAGCTACAGCAGCGTGGTCAGCTTCTTCTGCGTTACGTGGCCACTGAGGCCAACACTGCTGATGTGTTCACCAAGGCGCTTCCGCCTGTTGACCATCAGCGTTTTTGCACTCTTCTAGGCCTTGTGCCGACTGTTCCTCACTTGCTTACTTCTTGACTTTGCCTGTACTGTGATCATTATATATATACCTGCATGTTTGCCCTTGCTAGGTTGTGATCATTGTACCTCTTGCTCTGTTATAAAACTGCATGTGAACTGGTCTTGTGACCGCTTACTTGTGCTCGGAATTTGTGTGGAATCCTCGATATCCACCCTGAGCTTGTTTGCCTTGCGTTGCCTTGACTGGTCTTGTGACCCCTAGGTCTCCCCCACTTTGCCTATGGGGGTGTGTCAAACATTATATGTTTGTTTGGTTCTAGGCTGTAGTGGGTCACACCATAGGGGGTACACCAGA